CCCTCGATGACTGGAAAAGCTATTTCGACATCAATTTTTTCTCGCTTATTACTGCTATCAGGGCATCTTTGCCCGGCTTGCGAGAATCGAAGGGTAGGATCATTTTTGTAAGTTCAGGAGCGGCTACCGGAAACATATATGGATGGGGCGCATATAATGCTAGTAAAGCTGCTATGAACAGCCTGAGCAGGTGATCAGCGCTGAGTCGTGCGAGGAGGCTTTGAACTGATTCTATGAAATGGATAGAACGCTCGCAAATGAAGAACCTTCGATCGTGTCATTGGCACTTGCGCCTGGGAGAGTCGATACTGCGGTAGGTCTGGACTGTATTGTGTCGAACATAGATCTCAAATACTGCACAGATGCAGGCTATACTGCGGGATGCAGGAGTGCAGCACATGAAGGCGACCGATCATAAGGATTTTGTTGATGCCTACAATGAAGGAGCCCTAGTCAATCCACACGACGTTGGATATGTGATCGCTGCTCTCTCGTTACGTGCTCCTCTTGCGCTTACCGGGCAGTTTGTGAAGTGGGATAATGAGGAATGTAGAGAATTCCGGAGGAAATGACCTGGTAATATATTAGGTTGTATCTATGGTGTATGTGCGCCGTTCACGTACTGGCATGATGTACAAGATACTCACCAAAGTAAACACCGTATCAATGGATATTCTCTGTCGTTGCGTTAGCATCTGCCCAGGGGGACTTACAAAAGCAATACACTGTTCCCGCAGTTCGGTTCTGAGCCTAGGGTCGACCCTGAACTTTTCTTGGTTAAATCGTACTTAGTTTGACAGCGGTCCAAACTCGGCTGGTGCACACTCCGCGTCTTGTGCAAATAGGGGATGATCGCGACAAAGGATTTCTTTGTACAAGTGACGATATGTTGAGTTAGGTCCATCTATACGTGGCTAGAAACGGACGCCGAGTCAACCATCGCACTGGCAAGAAGTGATATCGAGATTGTTCGTTTGCGGAACTTACACCAACGAACTATATTAGTATAGTGCCAGACTCTGTCAGTATCCGGAATGGAACCTTAGGTAAATAACAGTCTCTGCCGCAACCAGAATGACATCAGCAAAAGACCTTGAAATTTCGCTTGTCAGAAAGAAGTTTGATGCTTACGGTGAGCTTACGGCGCTGGTGATGGAGCAACGCGATTGGTGGAACAAACTTATCCGTAGTAAAATGTAAATCGAATATTGCGGTAGCGTTAAGTGGGTAAAATGGGTTGGAAATAACGATATTATATTGAGATTACTATTTGGAACCCTAGACTAGGGCCATTTATAGGCAGCAGTGATGGCCGTTGTAAAACTTTGTAACAATTGTGCATGTATTTGAGATCATTGTCTGTGTTGTGACTACTACTACTAGTATGAGGTACTGATACTGCGTCTATGCGAACTCCGTGCTGAATGTATGATAGCTCTCCTTATCTGCGAAACTGTTAAGAAAAAACCGGTCATAGCTCTCCAAACAAGTGGCCGAAGAAATCTTTGCGTCTACCTTGTTACCATATTCTGGTATCAATTCGACAGCATGTGTTACATCCGTCAATGATATCACGCCACCACACCTACAACGTCTGCCATGTTGGTCCATCGTGTATGTGCGCTCTACTGTCCACATTGCAAGTTCAGGACGGTCACTGGGATTAGCGACGAAGTGAAAGAATTGGACGTAGAGGAGTGGACCGGAGAGGAACGTTGGCAACACCAAGTCAGAAGTCCCTGGAATCTTCGGCTGAAAAATAAGTCGGACTTGTGCAACACGACTGGCTGAAAAACATCTTGAATTAGATCTGAAACACGACTGCAAGAATAAACTTACTACTTTGGCCATCATCATCCATGACATTGATTAGGACAGCGTCACAGTTTCCAAGGGGGAATGCATCACTCGGTGGGTACGCTTGTATCACTCTGCTTGGCATGATGACTCGTGGCTGGAAAGCAGAGTGAAGCTGTAGTCGAAATTTGTTCCACGCGCAAAAGCGTCCGTATTTGTGGTCCCAGCGGGTATGCTCGCCAGTGAGGAGGGATAGCTGATTGATAAACTGAGAGAGCGCACGATTGAAATTAACAAGTGAATATTTGGTTTCAATAGCAATGGGTGTCAGAGCCTTGAAATCTGGTGTCGAAGTCAGATGGAAGGCAGTGTGAGCATCTCCAGAAAGAATGCCCTTAAGAAAATGATTCCGAACTGGCCGAGGTCCATGAACGGAATGTGCTTCATCAGGGAGAACACGAGAAACCCAGGAAAGTGCTGGATTAACGGTTGTCACTTCCTCATCTTCCATACATATGGCATTGACGAGTGACGCGCCACGAGAATAGAATAACGCATACAAGTTGAATAATTCCATTGACTCTTGGCGGTTGAGGATCCGTACGCACTGCTCTGTAAAATCAGTGGATCGCCGGTTTGTGCGCCCAAAGAGATGCTTGCAGTGTGTAATGAGTAAGCGCTCTGTCATATCAGCCGAAAACTGCATCAAAGTGCCCAGTCTCTCGACTGTGCCTCCAAAGCTTTGCAATAGCTCGAGTTTCGGGATAAAGAAATCTTCTTTAACACCTTTCTTTCCCCTCCTTGCCTCAGCATCGACAATAGCATCCTTGAACACGTGAAAATCTGAAAGTGCTTGCGCCATCGACTGTAGGGAATCAGGAGAATGAACTGGATTCTGCGAAAGATAGATGAACTCCACAAGGGCGCGAATGGCACGAATGAATCTGGGTGGAGCAACACCTGCAATTGAAGCGACAATGGTGCGTTGGATATCTCGGTGCTCCCGTCCTGTCATTTGGTTGACATGGGTGACACCTTTGGTGAAGTGACGTGTTCCCACCCGCTTATGCTGAACCATGAAGCGAGCATCGAGCTCAGGTTTCCCTACTGTCTCCTTGATCCAATTGAGCGGATGATCTGCAAAAAACTTGATGCAGGTATGTAAAACTTCACCAGTGAGAAAGACAGACGGGCATGCGAACATCCAATCGCGCCAATACGGCATGTGAACTCCTGACAGATGGACTGCTTTTGCTGCCTTCTGGAATTTATCGAGATCCCAAGGATCAGCCTCCTGGGAGATCTCATAGATGAGTCGCAGCGTGTGTTGCCCAGTACAAGGAGGGTAGAGGACTCCATCACCAAAATTTGCCTGTGTCGCCATAGTTATGGGAGATGCGTTTTTACTGACAGTAGCGATCATGGTAGCCTCTGGGAGGTCACATACGTGAGCGATGAGAGGTGTAAAGACGTAACGAATGTATCGGGAAGGATCGGGCATAAAACAACCATTTTTTGCTGCAATCTTGAGATTGGCGCAGACAAGATCGACACATTTATGCCACAGCCGTGCTTGCAGAATGCTCTGATAATCAGGATGCACACGAAACTTGGCGATGGGCATGTAAGCAATACACCGCCAAGCTCGTAGTGTAGCCTTGGAGCGAACTTCTGAATCGAGGTTGCCAATCGTAATGAAGAGTGGGTGCATCTCAAGCCCTCCAGTAGTGCGTGTCACAGGTGTTTTATCTGATCCCAGGATGATCGGTACTTGTGTAGCACCTACTGGGAGATGGTCCTAGGAACATGGCATCAATCTTTGAATAGTAGACTGACGGATAAAACTGACCTGAATTTTCCATGCCATATTGGCGCTCATATAATCCCCATATTCACGCTGACCCCCAATGTCGACAACATGTGGCTGAAAAGTAATGTGATTGGCGAAAACGGGATCGCCAAAGAGCTGTTTGACAACTTCGAGAGCATCACGCCAGATGAGTTGCAAAGGATAGGTTGTCTTGTAGCCTGTAAACTCCATGGTCGAGACTTTCCAAGGCACAAAAGAGGGGAGTGCGTCAATCCAGTCGAGAAGTTGATCTTTTGAGGTGAAAGATGGTCTTGGGCGGGTGTGAAACTGTAAACATAGAGTTAGACCTGTCAAATAGGGCTCCAAGTCTCCTACCCATTTCAGCTTCAAAAATTTGTCGATCTGAGTCTGAGTCAGGTTTTCAACTAGAAACCTCGCCAATTCCCACTCCCCTTCATCATGAAAAGGGTAATATGTATTCATTTTCCTCCGATAATCATATTGATCCTCTTGCAACCTGTCGAATAAGTTTTTGCCGACACCAAAGACATACCCAGATCGAGGATGATGATGTCCAGTAGTGGAGGATGTCGATGAATGAGAACCTCGCAATGCAGGTGGAATTGGAAATTGATGTGGATGTGATTCATGTGGCCAACAGGTAGACGGAGAATCAAGATGCAGAATGACTGCCTCGATGGAAAGGAACTCCTCACTGCAGTTGGGACACAGCCTGGTATATGTTAGTCTATGTAATAATAAAGTGATAAAAAGATACTTGCATCAGATAGTTAACCGGACTGCCAAGTCTTGACTAGGCCTTTCCTTGTGAGCTTTGCTGACGCTTGCTGGCAGTAACGTCTTTGAGACTCCGCAGACTGTGCATTCACAGGGTATTGTACTGATAACAGCTTATACTATTAGCAGGTTTCTTCTATATATCAGTAGGTTTCTTCCATTGTCAAGTTCAAAGTGCTTACAGATGTCTTCTCCATCTCGTTCTCAGCCCAGTAGTCCCCCCCGAGTCTCATCTCCTCCTCCCCCTAGCAGTTCGCCTGGCCCACCAAGTCCGTTAAACAGCCCCACATCTTCTCCTCTATCCAGTGGATGCGCCACCACTCCTGAAACATTTCTTTTTTATTCTAGCTCCAAGTCAGGGAGCTCTCCCAACACTATGAATTCTGACTTGTGCACTTCCCCACTAAGCACAAGGCCAGAAAAGACACTTGGGATTTCGGCTAAGGAGACGGATAGCATATTTTTTGATCCGTCTAAATCTCCGAACCCTCGATGTGCTGCACGACGGCAGTTCATACACAACAGAATGATGAGGAAGCAGCATCCATATCCCATATATCCAGCTCCAATAGAGGTTCGTTATGCAGCTCGTGTCATGGGGCAAGAGCGCAAGCCATATGTATCATTGGAAACATTTCTTCAGGTACAATATATTTTTTCTACTGGATTACAGGGACTGATTTTTATATTGACAAAGCATATCGGATACTTGGAAAATGGCCTTGCACAACTGCGTTCTTCAACCTTGTACAAAGGCTATAAAGCCAAGCTTGCTGCTCGCGAGACGGCACGCCAACGCCTTGTGGTGACTGCGTGGGAAATTGAAGAATCAGAGCGCTTCACTGCATTCCTTGATGCCCTGCATAGCGAGAATGAAGAACGACTTGGATTTGCAGACGAGGAGTTGCAGAACTTTAGGAGGATTTTTTCTGAGCGTGACCGCACAGAAGTTGACGATGATAGAGATTACCTTCAAGCCATCTATGAAGATGAATGCGAAATCCTTCGTGTTACCTCAGCCCAAGCTGAACAGATCTCAAAGATCTTAGGTTCACGAACCAAAGACGCATTCTTACAATCCGGACCTGCGGACTCGCAATCCCGGTTCCCCAGTCTTGAGATTCATGACGATGATGATATTGTTCTAGACGATTCTTCGGACCTGGATTCCGAAGAAGAGTGTCTTGGGGCACCGGTGGGGGCTGGTGAAGCGTCTGATGATGTGACTAGTAGTACCACCATGTGAACTTGATCGGTGGCTATTCAGCTGCATGCCCTTCCAATCGCGGTATGTGAAACAGATTATTGTATTTCAATGTACGACACTGATCAATCGATAAGAGAACATGTAATATTACACGCTGCTCGTGTTACTGTTTAATTATGATGGCGACCCCCCAGATTGTATTGGTTTGTCACTTGCATGCTTTACTTTTACATCGTACCCCTTCATCTTACCCTTCTTCAGCGTCTTCTGATTGACACATCTTGTTTAAGTATGGTTTGTAGTAGAATGCTATGCGGATATTTACCTGTACCCTGCGCCCTTATTGCGCCCTTACTACTGGAGTCCTCCCTGCGTATGCCTGTAAAACGTGCTAAAGGTAAAACAACGATACCAAAACCCACTTGCGGGTCTGGTCTGAATCCCTCACACGTCCCAGCGGACACTCAGATGTGTCTCAGCGACGAACAACCCCATGAACCAATGGCAAACGTTTTCAATCCACACGACGGGTTCAGCTCAAGGTGCGTACTTTTCTGTCTTGACAGCTACTACTGATTTATGCACCTACTAGCACTCGTTACGACAACTACAATTCCTTCAGTGCACATGCTCCCAGTGGTTATGTGCCGTCGTTCCACCCTGCTCACACCTATGACACTCACACAGGTCCGTCAGGCGCTCACGTTGCATCATCAAGTACTCGCCCTCAGGCTGATGCATCTTTAAGCGCTCCCGCTGAGTCATCGAGCGCTCATACTAATCCGTTATCAAGCGCTCACACTCATCCATCATCAAGCGCTCACACTCATCCATCATCGGGCACTGACATGGATTACACATTCCCTAACCCCGATTATAACATGTACAACGATTCAGTACCTAGAACTGACCCTGCCTATCAATCAAACCCCAATAACGACATTCCACCGTATGAGCCGCCGGTGTTCGATTATGAGAGTTATAGATCGTTTGATGGTAAGTCATTTGATCATCGATGAGACATCGTCACTGATCGTTTTCACAGGCTCATACAGTCCCAGGCGTCTCGAGCATCTTTCCGATTTCGACAACATGCAAGCACCTAACCCACACCACATACAAATTCCTCAACTATTCGACCACAATGAAGAGGAACCATTGGAGCCTCGAGATGCTCTTGTCCCCGTCGCAACGGGTGAGATACCGCGCTCACAAGTTATACACGTAAGTTTCAAGTATATTTTGTTTATTTCTCTCAAACTCTATTATAGACAACGGGACCCGCGCGATCGTCCAACAGACGACGACGTACTCGACAATTACCTGGAACACCACAATTTACTCACGAGAGCCCTGTTGTTCCTGCAACAACACAGGCTGATGTCACTGCAACAATGCACGCAACTCCGAGCCATGCAGGAGCCTCGGGCGACAACCATTATTTCCAGGTTACAGGACCCATCCGTGATCAAATCTTCAAACGCTCCAAAGAACTTGTCGTGGGCATCGCCCTCACAAAGGACGCGATGGCCTCGTCTACGGCCGACAAGAAACGTATTATCAAGTCTATCATTCGAAAGGCGACACCCAAGATTCCAGGGCTTAATGGTATGTTAATTTTTTCAATACTTTTCTAACTAACAGACCAACAGGAATACCGCGCTGGGAGAATCAAACCAAGGACCTTGCAACAATCTGGCGAGCGGTAATTGTCATGCGCACGGCGGTTACGACCCTCACTCGAGAAGGCGTCGTAATGGCCTATGGACTTTTCCCTCCGCAGGGCAGTCCAATCTCCCCCGAGACCTTCCGCATGGATCGTGTGAGACACCTCATTCGAAACAACGTGTTCATGCACGATTACTCATTTAATGTGGTATGGTCTTTATTGCACTTTCAATCACCAATCACATGTTGAGTTGTCAACAGGACGGGACGCTGACAATTCACTCGAAGTTCAAAAATCACTTCATTCTTCACCTTGTCACGCGAATGGTATGGAATATGCGCTTTCAACTCGACGTTTTGCTCGTCTCGCCACGCAGACAGCTGCACTTCGCAATGGGACTGGCCGGCGCAATAACAAAACGTGTGCTGGCGGAACAAGCACACCTGATACTCACTGCACCTAAGTCGTCCCCAGACGCAGATGCTTTTACCTTCGAAATGATCTGTTCGGGCATGGATGATCTCACTGATGAGGAGAAAGCTGACTTGGACGGGTGGAAAGACCATATGGTCATTTGTGGGACGTCTCAACAGCGCAGGAATGAGCTCTCCGATTTCGACTTGGACTCAAACTCAGACTCGGATATCGCGTGACATGTATTATTAATCACGATACTCATATTATTAATCACGATACTTGTATTATTAGTAGATCTATTGTATATACATTGAAAATACGGCTCTTTTACCTCGCGAAATGCATTATATCTATTACTTAAGCACATCGGGCTCGAGGCAAATGTTCAATTAAACCAAGACGAGTGTTTACGAACACCACCCTGAGCTACACCAAATAGGCTTGTTCAGAACAAGTTCAGAACTTGTGTCGACCAACTTGAGTTTTTTTAGATGATGGAGCTTTAGGTGAAACATGACACCAGCCGGATGCGAAAAGAGGCTGACCATTCAACCTGCCAGTGTTGACTCGTTCTGTCATGTAGAAGCGAAGCGAATAGGATGGATAGTGCAAGCAACGTACCAAGGAAAATCATAAATACCCGGACTGCAAACAAGTCTGCAGTACTGAACAACCCACCTCGAGAAACTCACAACTGACTCTCATATCCACCATGCGTTTTTTGACACTTCTCGCTATTTTCGTCGCTCTTGCCGTATCTGTTAGCGCAGATGGCACTAATGAGTGCAATGAGGGCTTTGATGAATGTGGGCCTGACTATAAATGTCAGGTAAATACCGTTTCTTTTGCCATGGCGAACACAGTGGACGCAGCTGACTTGCCTGTTGCAGGCTGGGAAATGCAAGAAACGTAACTGACAGTGCAGCCACGAGATGCTGTACAGTCGTCAGTAGAACGCAGGTTAGACATCATCCCACTGGCTAGAGCTATAGGTTGACCCTCGCTGATAGATTGTCTGAAATACCCGTTATTATTGAGATCATTGAGGTGGACAAATGAATGTCTGTATTACGTACTGGTCTATCCAAACTTCTTGGGAAATACGTTTGTTGCAGCCAGAAAACATCAGTGTCCATGAATGTCTGAGTATAAGGGCGACGAATGCGACCAAACATAAGTAGTTGGTCCTATAAAGTGCCCGCTCAGGGACCCTTGGCCCTTGGGCCTTGACGATGAGAGGAATGAGAGTGCCTCGAAGTTGGTGTACTAACGAGAAGTTGTCGCAATTACCAGGAAGAGAAAGTAGCACGGGCAAGAGCCATCCAGCCTTTCAAGAAGGAGACTCGAAATTCAACGGTTGGAGAGGTGAATGTTGAGCAGTGTCAACAGGATACATAAATTATCTGTGGTCTAAATGCTAACGTAAGAAGCGCATTAGTAACCTGTGATCTTCCTGGACTTGTCTTCGACTTATTCGTGGTTTTCTATATCTGCTATATATCTGCTGGCAACGTTGCATGCAGAGAAGGAGCCGTTAGAGCACTGTACGATAATCACCGTGGTCAGTGGTCGTCTTAGTTACTCGACACCACGCTCGCTGCGTGCAACTTTCAGGAGAACAAACGACGACATAGACATGCCTTCTCATAGAGACAATGAGCGCCGTTCACGTCATGACCGTTCACGCTCCAGAGACAGAAGAGAACGTTCGCCTACCCCAGAAAGTGGCTATGACCTTCCACAAGGCGTCTCACCCATATCGGAGTCGGACTACTTTTTGAAAAATACGGAGTTTAGAATATGGTTGAAGGAGGAGAAACACAAGGTCTGTCCTGCGCTACGCTTTCCTGAATCGAAGAAATAATGCTAAGGTGTTCATCTGGTAGTACTTTGATGAGCTCTCAAGTGAGAAAGCTAGAAGGTGAGTTTTATCATCAGGATGTTTCCTTACAAAGTTGCTCAAGAGGAATGGCAGCTACTTCCGAAAGTTTGTAAAGGTAAGAAGATGCACGACCTATAAAAACGTGTACTGAGTATGTGATACAAGGCATGGAACAGAGCGAAACTACCGAGTGAGCCTTCTTCAGTATTTCACAATGGCCAATTCTGACGGATCCTAACCGACGTCCAGAGTCCCTATACTCCGAAGCCAACTCCCATATATCATCAGCAGCAAACCAAACAGCTTACAAATGGTCTTTCGCATCTAAGGGCTCAAATGCAGACGCAGGAACCTTGAAGGCTGTTCGAGAAGAGGTTGATTCCGCGACGTACCGGCGTGCCACTAGTTCATCCGATACCGGTGGAGGTCGAAGCCGCGTACATGGCCCAACTCTCCCTTCAGCGTCTGATCGGGTCCTTGCCCGGGAAGCTGCGTCGGAGTATCAAGCAGCAGAACATAGCATGAAGCGTAAACGAGATCGCGCAGAAGCGAAAGAGCGCGTCGAGGACATGATGGGGCCGAAAGAGGTCGGTAAGGAGGGCATGCTGGAGAAGAAGCGTGCCCGGAGAGAGGACGACCGTGCATTTAGGGAGAAAGGTGATGACGGCTTTGAAGCCGACGAGTCGACCCTCCTTGGTGGTGGGGATAGTTTCAGGGACCAGTATGTCTTGTGCCCCTTCGCTTTCCTTTGAATTCTGACATCGTATTAGCATTGCTCGGCGAGATGCAGCACGGAAACGATTCGAGGAGAAGCGTGCTGTAGGGAGAGAAGATAAAACCGCCGGTGTACGCGAACGTGCTGCGGCCTTGCGAGAGAAGGATAAAGCTACGATGGACATGTTTCAACAGTTGGCAAAGCAGAGATTTGGTTAAGCACGACGCTGCAATATAAATGTCTGAATTTATCTGATCCACGGAGCAATCAACTTCTAAACTTTGTCGCTGCGCTGGCAGGGGAGAAAGCGGTGCTGGACCACCGTACAGATCCGTTCGCGCACGGTCAGCTTTACACTGCGCTATCACGAGTACGATGTTGAAGAGACATTCGGGCGCTATTTCTTGCAGAAGCGAGGGAGAAGAATACGGCGAACGTAGTATACAGACACCTGTTATTGTAATTCACTGTGAAAACACTCGCTACGTCCGAAGGCGATCGGTACTCTTGTATGGAACAAATGAAGAAAATAAGCGATAATATTTGATCTATGCCTCCGTCAACTCCCGCAGACGACGAACGGTGCTAGGTAGATAGTCAGACTCGATGCCCAACAATGCGAATGGGAATGGCTCACCTCCGTACGGTAGCAGCCGCAGTCGTCGATACTGTCCATGCCCCACCAGCGATCGTCTTTCTGCAGGAGCTGCAATTCCAGATACCAACGGCGGTACGCTTCACGGAGTCCTGTGACGGGATGAGAATGTTGCGCACATGCGAACATTATATTTGAGCTCACCTTGCCGCAGAAGGTGCAGGTGTACCGGGCGTGCTGTGTTATCTCCATCTGAAAAATGCTAGTCTCAATACATCGTATGATCATCATAGAGCAAAAGGCTCACCTTTTTTACTTGCTTACGAAGCGAAGCACCGTAGCGCTAGATGAAGATGTCAAGTCAATTGTCCTGTAAGAGAACACATAACATACGGTACCATATTTTCCGGTCACACCAACTTTGCGTGTACGTTTTGTCTGTGATGTAGGTTGTTAGTACGAAAACATGGTTCGGGTGATAGCACCCACCATGTTGAGGGGTAGAGGTCTTGATGAGGAGGAGTACTAGACGGTGACAGAGTACAAGCGGTAATGGGTTGTGGGAAATAATTAGATAAACTATATAAGCAACAAGCCACACGGCTTGATCGGGTGCCGTTCGTGTAACCGATTTCAAGCTCCGCTATGTGACGCAAACCTTCAGATTTGGCTTTAAGATGACGCATGTCGGTTCACCTCCGGCGGACAAGATTAACGGAAACATCATCGCTCTCAACGCACTTGCTGGTATCCCGCTCAGACTTTTTAGCTCCTTACGAACGTGGATTTCACTCATGATTCTCCCTCCGCCTCCGTCACTGACCCAGGTACCGATGCATACTGGCCTTACACGCCAGACAATGGTCTTGCAAACGATAAGATACTTGAGCATGAAACTTCCAAAAGCTGACACTTTACGCAGGCGTATGTAAGTTTATTTCCGTCTCGACTCACTGTTTCGTATAGCTCATGCATGTTCAGGGTTTTTCTTACAAAATCACCCTGCCGTTTGGCTCGCGTTCTCGATGAAGGACACTGTCCTCCTTTCAATGAGCCCCATGATGTGAAGCACTATCCCTGTTGTTATATGGATCTGCTGTGGTGGACCGGCTTGGTCAACAAATCCTTTCTCAGCTCGACCAACATAAATTGATGCGACATGAGCACAAAATTGAGTTGGCGATTGAAGCTCAGAATCTTGATGCTATGTGCCGGCGTGAATGGCCAGCACCTGTTTCGAAAGAGGTTATCTTAGACTGTTTACACCGTTATCATGAAGGCTCGAAGTGGACTGATCCTCCTGTTTGTACAGTCTGTTCTTGAAGGCATTGCGAGTCCACAGAAGATGTCGTTTCTTTGATGCCTGAAGCACCTTTGCTAATAAATTTAGACGCTCTGTGCATTACAGATGCCTTTGTAATCTGAAAATGTATTGTGTAGTGCGTCTCGCAGCTTTCACTTTCGACAACGGCAGAAATTCTTGATAGCTTGATGCTTGATAAGGCAGGTATCGTTAAATATTCTCCTGATTCGACTATGATGAATGTCTGTTCTGATTGTTTTGCTGCTCTATTGAAGGATAACCATGCTCCCCGTTTTGCGCTCGCGAACAACTTGTATTGTGGCGAATTTCCGACATATTTCGATGACCTTACTCGGGTTGAAGAGAAAATCTATGCAATCATGATATACAGTACCACTGCTCATGTCATGCGCTTATTCCAGTTGTCGGATCTGTTGCAGCCAAAAGTCTTTCACAGTAATATTTGCGCTTATGATATGAATGTCGTGTCGACTGCTTCTGTGTTGCCTCAGACTCCTGCAGATGTTAATGGGGTTTCCAGCATTGTCTTCGTTCGTCCTGGTAAATTCAAGCCTGAACAAATGGGACCCATGTTTCGAGTGCGGAAGAATAAAATCTGGTCATTTCTTCTGGTTGAAGCATCACAATTGTCTGTATTCTGATATCCTATTCGAACCAAACAATCTGATGCTGTATCCCAGTGATGAATCGATGACGTGTTGCCTGGATTATCTGATCGTG